CAGTTCACTCGACTGATGTTCACCCAACTTCACAAATTGACGCCTCTGTGTCAAATAACTTCTAATCCAATTCAAAACCAATCCTCTGATCCCATATTTTTCTAACTTATCCATTAATAATTCATGATTGATTGTGTCAAATGCTTTTTTTTAGGTCAATAAATATCCCCATCGTGTATTTCTTCTCATCCATAGCACTTTTTATGTCCTCCATCAGGTCAGTAATGGCCTGTCGATCGGCTCAACCTAAAACCATATTGGCAATCAGAGAGGATTTTATGTTTGTCAATAAATGTATCTAATCTGTTATTAAAGAGTTTTTCCAGAATTTTTGAAAATTGTGACAACAGAGAAACCGGTCTATAATTTGTGAGGTTATGCTTATCACCAGATTTATACAGTGGAATGACCTTTGCTATTTTCATATTATTGGGGAACTGACCGAGTCGAAACGACATGTTAAAAATAGACCTGTTTTCATGAAACCTATCTCTTTCTCCCTTCTTCAGTTTATCTGCTACCGAAAGGTAATTTTGTTGGGATCCAATGCAGAGATTAAATTAATATCAGTTATCTTATCTAATGCTGATTAAAAACACAAGTACATTTTCCTGTGTTCTTAGTAATTGCGTGACATTATTACAAATAAATAAAAACATTTGTGTTAGTAATGCTTTAATTTACAAGCATTTTGGATGACTTCTTGCTTCTTGCTTGCTTGAGTTTGAATGCAGTTCTTGTGAACTGCACTGGACACAAGTGTCTATCAAGTCAGTGTGATGTGATATTATTTAAAACCTATAAAATCTTTATCATTTATTGTCTGTTTCCCCTCCAACAGGGTGGCAGTATGTCTTTCCCTCCCCCTCCTCCCCCTCCTGGTGGCCCAGTGGGTCCTCCTCCACCACCTATGATGGGTGGCTTCCCTCCACCACCACCTCCACTACCTTTCAGCTGCCCGCCTCCTCCGCCACCTCCCCCACCACCTGGAGCCCCGCCTCCTCCACCAGGAGCCCCTCCCATTTTTGGAGCTCTGCCCCCTTCTATTCCCTCTTCCTTCATCTCCACGACCACTATACGTTCTAAGTCCATCCCCCAGCCTTCTCATCCCCTGAAGTCTTTCAACTGGGCCAAACTCGGAGCGGTGAGAGAACACTGTGTTATTGGGTGAAAATGTGAAAACGCTTTTTGTGTTGAAGGGAGAATATTCATTTTGCAACTAACTACAGTATTTTCATGTTTTTTCAAATTGTAAGTTCATTTTATGCAAACAAAACTTTTTAACATAAAGAGCTTTTTAGTTTACCACCAGAGCATTGTGGCCATATGACTATATGAGCATGGTTAAAGTTCTTTTAATTGATATTGTTACACATCAAACTCGAAACATGAGTTCCTTTCTAATTTAAGTATTGAGTAAGATAAAATAGAACAAAACTGTGTTTAAATAGTAATCCCGTATGTTTCTTCCCCCTTCCAGAATGTGATCAATGGCACCATCTGGAGTGACATAGATGACCTTAGAGCTTTCAAGGTTCTTGACCTCAAGGATATAGAGAAGATGTTTTCAGCCTATCAGAGACAACAGGTTTGGATGTCTTAGCAAGTAGAATACAGTATTCTGGAATTTTATGACTGTATGTGGGCTGGTTTTGGTGAGCAGAAGCAGGAATCCATTTAATGTGTTTGAATAACTGCTGAAGTTGCATTTGAAGTTGCTTTGCCTTCATTTCTTAACATGTATAAATTAGTGTGTGTGCAAATGGGTGAATCTTGACAGGAGTCCAGCTCAAGGCTAACATGAGCAGCTGTTCACCGCTGCATGCCTTGTTGAAATGATGCCACAGAGCTCAGGCTTCGCCCTAATCTCTGCAGAGCATTTTTATGTGAGAACTGACTGGGTCTTCATGGGCTCATGGATCAGGTCAACACATAGGAACACACATGTAATAACACTGAAGCCACAAGGAGTCACGATCCAGGGAAATTTTACAGAAATTAGCATAAAAAATAGAGGATATTCACTTGATCGTGATGAAAAGGGGCCTAACTAATAGGATAATTGCACTGTGCATGCCTTTGGGATGATATTATGCTGTACATAGCAATTACCCTCTGTACTTCAAACTAATTACACCCCACTTGTCATGTGATTATATTAGATACAATTTCATAAAATGACATTTTTTACTACCTCAAATGCCTAAATTAGTTTCTAGTAATCACAGTATAAAGCAAGGGTTTTAAGGATCAGTGGAAGAGTGATGCATAATCTCTGTAGAGACATTATAGAGTGTGTATATAGTGTATAGTGTGTTTTACTGCTTTGCTTAAAAGCTTTCTGGCAGTTACAAGCTCAACTTCTCTTTGCAGTCTCTTATTAAAGAGCAATGGGTCATTTAAGGTTGTTGCTGACAGTGATTTACTGTGGGTATTTATTTATACGGACAGGTTTTTATTGGCACATGCCAATGGTTAAATACAGATCTTTATGGATAGAACCATATAAAAGCCTAAGTTCTTTCTGGCTTTGACAACTGTGTTCCATTTGGCGAGAGCAAGTTTAAGTTCACCTGGACAATACTGCAGTCATGGCATAGTTGCTTTTCGAAATGGGCTTTTGTTTACATCTGCCCTCTGTAGGATTAGTTACCACACTCATTTTTCATGTTCTTGTTTTTGCATGTCAAGACAGATGTTGATGCAATCAAAAGGATAGGTTATAGCAATCCTGGCTGAATACATAAACCATAATAGAACAGAGTTTTAAAGCTGTTCTGTTCACCTATGCAGCACAGATGTTTCAGACTTGGACTATACATTTCGTGAGCCCCTGATGACTTTGGAAGGTACATGATTGATTTTCTCACAGAGGACTTCCCGGCTTCAGCTTGTAGCGTGCATAGTTGAAGTTCTTTGCTCTAGCCATCACTTTATTTCTGCTTGAAGTGCTAATCTTTGCATGTGTTTTCAATGTTTTTGTGTCTCTCTGCACTCTCCGACTGCCTGGTCAGGACCTGCTCACTAACCAATCCTTCAAACAGGTGAGTTAACGGTCTACCAGCATCCTTTTTTTTTTTTTTTTTTTTTCTGATAACCACCCTTAATGCTCCATCACCCTCACCTCTGCCCATCAGCAGCCAGACATGGTCCACTAATTTCCCAGTCCATTATCATGAATGGGTAGATGTTAGCAAAAAGAAGAGTGAATATTGGTTTCCAGAAACATGTCTCTAAATGAACACTAATGTTGCTCTGTGTGTGCTATATGTTTAAATAGGCAACATATCCACTGTATCGTCTTAAAAATTTATTAATGCATGTTAATTGTCTTTGAAAGTGTACTGTATGAATTAACTGTGTAAGATGTATAGCAAATGACAGCAGGTGTGTAGCTGGTTGGCTGTAGCCTTGGACAGTTCCCCTTTGTGGAGATTCAGAACGTTCAAATGTAAATACAGCATTAATATTGATCATCATTGCCTCGTTATTCATAATCCTCCTCATTTTCATGTTATTCATCATCTTTCATTGGCTTACATGTCATAATTCATCATTATGAAATGATGAACAGGAAAAGTCTGAATCTAAATGCAGCCATGTTTTATGTGAAAGCCTACACAATCATGTTGCCTTGCACAAGAGCAAAAAGTTCAAACACTGACCATATTTTAATCACACCACTTAAAAAGGTGAAGATGCAGCAGCCAGTCTCTAGTTACATGAGGTTGAGTGCACATGCTATACACAAGTTGGCGAACCTGCCTCTAACGTGTGGGCAGTGAGGGCTTTGGCAGGCCCAATGAATAGGAGTAGCCCCTCTGTCCCAGTGCCAGCTTCAGTCTGCCGCCAGGCATTGTGGGTCAGTGCAGACATGGAAAAACGACACTTTCTTTACAACCCGCATCTGTTTTACATACATCATACCCATTGACCTCAAAAAGGACATTTTCTGGCAAGCAGGAAACCAGCTCAGACCAGAAATAGAATGTGTTTAACATGCAGCCCCAACCAGCTTACTCAAACATATATTCTTTCCTCTTGGGGATTTTAATTCCACTTTACAAAAATATCTGACTGGCCTATACCACGTTTTGAACAGTGTTTCATGTTCTTCACAGAGGTTTATAAGCCTGCCTGTTGTGTTTTGTAGTGATGACTCACCAAAACAAAGCTCCTCTCTCAAAACCTGCTTTAGATTTTCTGCTTGCCCTGGCATGAGTATGATTTTTTTTTTTTTTTCCAAAAGATTTCTGCAGGATTTTGTAATGTTTTCACAATTCAGTCCAATGGTTCTAAACATTTTTGAGACATGCATTATGGCCTCTGAGAACTGATGCATGACACTCGACAGTCACAGTCAGTGAATCTGAAATAAGGCCAACTGAAGTATTTTACTGGCATGCAACATTTGTCTGTGCTTGATAGTTACCATGATCAAACTGTAACAGCTGGCTTAGTTTTTGTTGTTTTTAAATCTGTTTAAAATTAACACATTGTTAAATGCTTAGAAGGGGTCATGTCATCTCTCAGTGAGATATGATATCAAACAGATGTGAGGACTCATTTCATTGTGCAGGCTTTGCTGTTTATGAGCACATAAATGGAATTATGTTACAGTTCATGTTTTTCTCTGTCTTTATCTTTCTGCAGAAAGAGACGGGCTCTATCGATGACATATATGTCAGCACTCGGAAGGTCAAAGAACTATCGGTCATTGATGGTAGACGTGCACAGAACTGTGTCATCCTGCTTTCAAAGTATGGGTCCTAGACAATTAATTATGCTACATTTTACCTATATTAAAACAGGTTATCACCTGTTCATTAGATCATACAGGCAGGTAACAAATGAAAGGATAATCCAGAATAAATGAGTGGTCTCTTCCAGGCTCACAGTGCTCCATCCATTGGACATGAGGGGTCACTGAATGGTGATTAGTATGAACATGAGTCATATGCTGTGGCCTTCACAGTCAACACATTTCAAACCAGGTGAACACCTATGGGACATGTTGGAGCAACGTGTTAGACAGCGTCTAACAATCATCAAAACATCACATGAGGAAATGTCTTTTGGAAGAATGGTGTTCATCCCTCCAGTAGAGTTCAGAGACTTGGAGAGTCAATGTCAAGGAGCAGTGAAGCTGTTCTAGTGGCACCTGGTGGCCCAGCGCCTCACTGAGACACTTTATGTTGGATTGTTCGTTCATTTGTCAGCTGTCTGTAATTCTGAAGAGCTACCCAGCAGTGTTTGGGCCAAGGGTCAGCTGCTTGGAGCAGGTGCTTCTTATGTCTGGTACAGGAAATGTGTTTTTAATGGACAGACAAGGACATCTGTCAGTGTAATTCAATTACCACATATGTTTGTATTTTAAAGGAACCATCTTAATCATGACAGACAGAAAGCATTGACCAGGAGAGGATGGGATTCAGGAAGTAGGGGTTCAGATTTCAACAAGGTTTTTGTCTGTTTTTAAACATTCAGATATTGTCAATGTCCATAATAATTCACTTTTGGCTGCTCCCACGAGGGGTCGCCACAATGAATCGTCACACTGACGACTCGCGAGTCTGGCACATATTTTATGCCGGATGCCCTTCCTGATGCAGTCCTGAATCGAACCCGGGGCACAGTGGCGAGAGTGCTGAATCCTAGCCACTAGTCCATCAGGGACATATTGTCAATGTCCATATAAAGACGAAATAATCAATCAAGACACTTATTAGCGCTCTAGTTCCACTATATCCCAACTGGAATCAATTGTTATGACTTAAGACTCACCCAAAAATATGGTTACTATTTGTATGTCTCGTAACAGCAGTGCTTCAGAGCACTTTAGATAATTTGAATCCTCCCCCCACCTCCCAATAGATCAATAAACAGGCTTCCTGAGACCCTTTTCTGTCTGACAGCACAGCAGCGTGGTCCCCTGAACTCGCTTTTCTGTCAATAGGAAATGACCCCAGGGTACAAACCAAGCTCAAATGGGGTTAGCAGTTGGTCAATAAGACTGTGGTGCACAGACTAACAATGCTGTTATTGATCACAACCCAGCACACTTAACACTGATCAGATTCACAGAAAACAGCTGGCAGTGCCCCCAGGGTCAGACCGGAATTCACAGTATTAGTATCAGCCAACTCGTATTGTGTGATTTTGATGTAGTAATTTACATGTGATTAAACAACTAACCATAAACAATTTTTGAATTTTTTTTTTTTTACAGGTTGAAAATGAGCAATGAAGAGATCAAGAGGGCGATCCTAGAGATGGATGAGAGAGAAGAGCTAGCCAAAGATATGCTGGAGCAGGTAAGCTTTAGTGCTGGATGAATGATCATGTACATATGTAAGACAGTAGTGCAATAACAGAGCTTATCAAGGCTGCTATGGGTGCACAGGTGAAAACATTGTGTATGGATTTCACCGATAAGCCAAGAAAATTGAGGCTTCAACGTGGTTTGATGCACTTTGTCTAATCAACACTTGACCCAGGCACAGTAATACAGATGTCAGTTATTTCTGACTGGGAAGCAAAAAAGCAAACGGCCCAAATGTGTCAGGGGCCTGGATCTTTTCAGTTTACTTCAGTGGGTAATTTTGTTTTAGACAGAATACAAATAAAGCTAATCAACATTAAAAGAAAAATAATGCCAAATTTTCTGGAAAACATTTAGCCCTAGTCGTTTCAGTTGGTTCCACCAACACATGCATTAACATTTGAATTTGAATATTTACAGCTGCTGAAGTTCGTCCCAGAGAAAAGTGACATTGATCTGCTGGAGGAACACAAACATGAGTTGGAGCGCATGGCCCGGGCTGATCGCTTCCTCTTTGAAATGAGCAGGTACACAGGACTACATTATGTATAACACATCTGCAGTTTGCAGGGCTGGTTAATATTTATGGCACTGAGTTTGTTAGGAAAACCTAAGACGCAAACACCAGTGTCTGCGTGATAAAACTGATGCACTGTGTTAGCATCATGGCAGTTTATGGCGTGCAGATTTTGTCCAGAATCAAGACATCTGCCAGACAAGCACAAATGGATCATATAATATTGCAAATCTCAAAGAATGAGCTTTTGAAGCTGGGATCCAGGACAAGCCTCAGCATGCAGAGTGATTCATCATGTAGCTGAGAAAAGAAATGATGGCTGCCCTTTGAGGACGCCATTGACATTAGAGAGTGCAGACGTTTTAAATCAGCACCTTTTTTCTGCACTCCATCCTTTCTCAAAATCTGCATTGATTGTACAAGATAATTAAACCTTTCACCTGCTTTTAGTAAAATATTACCCTGCCCAATTTCTTTCATTTTGATCACATCTGGGATTTACAGTACAGTACTTATTTCCTGTTTTCACCATTTAATGTCCGTGTTCCCTCTTTTAACAGGGATATTGCTCCCTCCTTCAGTGAACTTTTGGGCAGGATTAACATATCCATTTGTTGACTCTCCAACTCAATGGGAACCTGTTAAATGATGAAAGGCTTGTGAAAACTGAGAGATGGGGTTATGTATGACTGGGTGACTTTTAGCTTTGAATGTGCACTCAGTGGAGACTAAGTAATTCGCCTCCTCTTTTCCGTTACTCCTCCTTTTACCTCTTTCTTCTCTTCATCAGAATTGACCACTACCAACAGAGACTGCAGTCTCTGTTCTTTAAGAAGAAGTTTGCAGAGCGTCTAGCTGAAACCAAGCCTAAAGTTGAAGGTAAGGAAAAAACACTTTGCAGGCCACTAAAAGACAGAGGAAGCAGAATTTAACGCTCTGTGATTATTTATTTAAAGAATATGAGTATTACACTCTATTTTACTTATTGAAATCCAAGAAAAATATTAAAACCAACAATAAATTTATCATAACAAGTATTGTCTGCCAAAGCCCAGTGTATCTTGCTACTCTGTGCCGTTGTCCAAAAACTATTAAGCATCAATAAATCAATAAGTCACACTGTTGCCTGGGCCAGTTTGTCACCGTGAACACTGTAGTTTATTTTGACTCCATGTGCATGGTCCTGCTGCCAGAAATCTTCTCTTGCACATGAAATTCATATTAGTCTCTAACAAATGCAATATTTCCTCTTGTTTGAGTAGTATTTGATTAAAAACTACTGTACCCAACTGTTGTAGGAAATGACTGAGCCTTTTGATCAAGTGAAGTTGTATATTTTTGACATTCTTTAAAGATGAATGCGATTAGGAACAGATGGGTATTTCAAGCTAAAACGCCATTTGATTTTTGCTGGTAACTATTTAACAATGATTCAAAGACACCCCACCCCACCCCCATTACTGAGAGTCCTAGTCCAACTGCTTCATGTTGGCTAGCACCATATTACTAGTGTTATGTGCACATGATGTGACTTTACCTGTAAGTCCCCAGTGTTATTCTTGTTTGTTTGTTGTTTTTTAACTATTCAAAAATCATTGCTCATCTCTAGAACTAACAGGCTTGGAACTGAGTGCTACAAGAGGAGTGGACAAGTCAGGATATATTGAGAAATGGATGTTTTTAGTTCCGGTCTATTCATAGAATATGTCAACAATAATATTAAATACTGTATAGCAGCAGCAGAAATAAGGCAGAAATGCTATACATTAGCTTAGATTCTCTAATCACAGCTGTCCTGAAACACTACTTATTTGACATGCTTTTAAGTGCAAGGGGATAACATTTTGAAGAACATGCTTTTAGGGAATATCACATTCATAATGTGCACAGTTCCACTCCCAGAAGCAAAAGAAATGTCTAAAAATGTCATCAGCTTTGACCAGAGCTTTAAACAGTGCCTTGTGAAATCCCTTCTTTGTGCTCCTGTACATGTGCACGTGGGTGTGCACGGTGAGAGAAAGTGGTAGACTGTATATCAGCCCTCTGGAGGTTTTCCCCTATAAGCCAGCTTCCAGGTTACCAGGGAGACTGTTTTGGAAAGCTGGCCCATGTTGAGAGGGGAGAGCCTGCTCATAAACACTGCAGCTCTCTTCAAAGACTGAGGCGAAAGGTTTCCAATGAGGTCGATAGATATGTGTGTGCATGGGTGTGTCATGACTGAGCTGTCATAGCGTCTGAGCCAGAACTACTTGAAAGACTTCTCTGCTGGCCTAAATGCCTTTCAAAGGGAAAGGCATTGATGAGCACTTCACCTTATTTGTGCCAGCGGTGTTTTATGTGCAGGCAGTGCTGACTGACAGTTAAACCCTGTGTGCTGCAGCTTTTAGTCTATTCATTCTAGTCTGAGTTCAAATAAAATGTATCTTATGACATACAGTACATTACTGTCTGCCAGGAATGGAAAGAAAGTGCCGTTAGAGACCTAATCCTGTGAGTTTGTGTTGATTCCAGAATCCAGATTTTCCCATACCGCACTGTTCACCGATGCCTGTAATAGAGTTCTCATCTCCATTTATTATTCATGCTACTATGTCACATACTCGCGATAAAACTGTGCTTCCTTGGACCACCCACCATGTTCAGTAGAAACATGTCAAAAGAGAGTGTGGTGTGCAGCCAGGACTGTCTGCATCCAGCAGAAGAATGGTTCCAATGCAGAAACAACGAACAATAACGATAGGGATTTTTATAATGAATTTCACATTCACACTGAGGTCTTTTCTGTGGAGAGAGGGAACCACCTGTACTCTGCCAGACAAGTCTGTGCTGAGGAGGGGAGGGGAGGAATAGAAGGCATGGGTTTGTGTTTGGAATATTCTCTTCCCCTGCTGTTTTATGGATGGACAGTAGGGCTTGATGGGTTTCCCCAACGAGTTGCCCAGTTGTTGTGGAGAATACTGATCAATCATCATGAGTGATGGTAAAAATTAAGGAAAGGATGAGAACCATTAGGCTGCATACTGTACAGTTGAGGCTTCAGTTTGCATGTGGGTCAGTGGGGCTGTGTAAAGAAACAGAACACAATGGAAGGGAAAACAGCCATCTTGTTGTAATTTGAAAGGTTAAGTGATATGCTAAGCAAATGCACACATCTGTCACCAACTGTATGATCTCTCCAGCTGCTTCTCTCTTTCCATTGTCCTCCAGCCATCTTGAATGCATCCAAGGAGGTGGTTCGGAGCAAGCGCCTGACTCAGATCCTGGAGGTGGTGCTGGCCTTTGGTAACTTCATGAACAAGGGCCAGAGAGGCAACGCCTACGGCTTCAAGGTCTCCAGCCTCAACAAGATTGCTGACACGAAGTCCAGCATAGACAGGTGGGCCACAGGAGGGACTGTAGATGTTAAATGGACTCTTAGCAACTTAGGTTGTATCAAATGTATGGCTCATATTCTCAGTGTGATGAGTGCAACTGATTGTTTTTCTGTATGACGAGTGCATAGCTACAGTGCAGCAGGGACGGGTAGCACCACAATTGTCCAAGGCTTAAAATTCTCAGAATACAAGGACATTGGGCAAAACACATGGAACTGGGGTGTCAACATTTAAAAAATCCCCCACATGGAAATGACAACAAAAGTATGACCAAATCATGGAATAAATCTGTACATTTTTAATAGAAAGGCTAAAAGTGTCCCATCAGCATGGTCTCACTTCATTCATGTACAGATAGTTCCTGTATTCAGGATTTCTTTGGACATACAGGCAAAAGACTCTTGCTTCTGTGCCTGTGACAGCTATGAGTGGACACATTGTTTTCCGGGTGTCCCTCCTGTAAATATCTCAGGAACACCTTGAGGGAATTTCTTCAAATTTGGCACGAATGTCCACTTGGCTTTGATTTTGTCCCTTGTCCTCCTCTCTCACTGCTTCCACACTGTCCAGTTCCAAAGTGATGACCTAGCTAGCCCTCTTTAACAGCTTGTTGAGACTGCTGAGCTGCACGCCTTGATTTCACCACCACAGCACACAAGAAGAACAGAGCACTGGCTGCTATAGACTGCTAGATCTGCAGGAGTCTGTTGCACCCACTGAAGGAGTCTCCTCAGGAAAAACACTCAGCTCTGTCCCTTCCTGAAGAGGGTTTTACTGGTGGGAGTCCAGTCCATTTTTTATTAATTTGGACCCCAAGGTACCCAGGAGTCCACCCCCTTCACTTCCTCTCGTTGGATGACAACCAGGACAAGGGGCGTTCTCTTCCTCTGGTAGTTCACGACAAGCTCATTGGTTTTGCTGATACTGAGCTCCAGATGATTGTCGTTGCACAGTGTAACAAAGCACTCTGTCAGTCCTTTGTACTTCTCCTGAAAATGACAATATATGTTTCCCCATGACTATCCCATAAGCCTGAAATTAAAGAAAAGTATTCAAGATGATCATTTAATGAAGCTTTTGTCTTTCCTTGTGATTCAACAGGAACATCACCATGTTGCACTACTTGATCATGATCTTTGAGAAGAACTACCCAGACACACTGCATATCCATGAAGACCTCAGCAGTTTACCAGAGGCTGCCAAAGTCAAGTGAGTGCGCAACATTTCACTGTGGGATTGCTACCTATGTTTATTTTATTACAACAGTGAGGAGCACATGCACAGTCCTAGTCCTGAATCTTTTCTACCACACTTTGGTGGTCTTTTACTTTAAAAATTCCTTGAAAATTTAAATTAGGACACAAATTGCACCCCAACATTTGTAGGAAAGTGTAGTAGAAGACAGTAACAGCTATCAAAGATTGTCTCCATGACTTTTCTTTTTCTTTTTCTTAGTTTGGCTGAGTTGGAAAAAGAGGTGCACAGTATCAAAAGTGGACTGAAGGCTCTTGAGGCGGTGAGTTGTGTGTTTGTGTCCTGGTCCCTCCCATTGGTTCTTCTCTTGTCTGTAATTATGCAGTGGAGCAGGGTGAGGTGTTTAAATGCTGGAAATGTTCCACACACAGTAACGTGGAACGCCAAATGTCACATTTGCCGTCACACAGGGAAACAAGTTTACGTGCACATACTCATTTTACACTTTACAGAAAGCGGAAATGAATGGGAATAATATGAAGCTTGCATCCATCTCATAAAGCCAATATTATACTCATCCAAGCTGTGCGTAGGCAAGCATGACCAGGGTCTGCTTGGATAGGTTCTTGTTCATCTCCATTTGGAAGGTAATTCCTGAATGAAGTTGACTCAGTCACCTTGCTTGATGTGGTGGTCTGCACGACATGTTGAGATTTAGCCTCTGTGACCTACGCTTGTCCATAGTCTTCATTGCATATGTCTGCAGAGATGTTTTCATGTGTCTTCAGAGAAGCATAATTCTGTAGTTTGAAAGTCACTTCCCTCTGATCTGCTTTGCCCCTCGCCAGGAGCTGCACTACCAGCAGAGCAGGACCAGGGAACGTGGGGATAAGTTTGTGGCTGTGATCAGTGACTTCATCACGGTGGCTGGCTTCAGCTTCTCTGAACTGGAGGACCAGCTGAGTGAAGCCAAGGACAAGGTAGCTAACTGCTTAACCATCAGTTATACAGTGAACCTGTGTGTGAATGTGAGAGAAGATTGCACTGTAAGTGGAAGGTCATGTCTGTGGGTGGCTGTAATACATCCTTTGCTCATATTCATCACTGCCAAGCGTTCATCTCAGAGAGACAGAGAAAAGAAAAACTGTGAAACCTCTGTGTATCATCAGTGTGATGACTTCAGCAGCTTAGGGAAACCCAGAATTGACAGATGACCCTGGATTCCTCCCACATATTCCCTTTGTCTTTGTCTCTTAACAGTAAGTCAGCGTTTTAAATTCACACTTTTTTATACAGCTGGAACAAAGAGCTTTTGAACCCTGCTGGCTTATGCATTGATGTGTAGTAGGAAGTATGTAAGCTGAAGACACCCATGGGACTGGTAATCCCAAGGTCAGACAGTGTTGAAAAGATTTTTGTGAACATATTTTTTAATATGCACGGCTTTGGTGCTCTTGCACGTCAAACATTTTGACACTGACACTGGCAGACTCCTACATTAGCACACATATTACATTATACTTTATAATGAAGCTTGTCTTTTTCCAAAAGAATTGACATGGTGATGCCTAACACTCAAATTGCCTAAATCCTCTAAAGGATCAACTGACTGTGTGAGAGAAAGAAAGGATGTAGGGCCCATGGGTTCTATGTAGAGCCTTTTCCCTACTTAACTATTTGTTCAAGGAGGGTGGTGAAAAATCGGAGGGAAAATCATCCAGTTGGGACATCACAGGAAAAGAGGGAGAGGAACAGGGCATCAGTTACTGCTGTAGAACAAAAGAACCTGTGTTCACTCGCCCAGACTCTAAACAGACACTTTTCCCAACATAACTGTATGTCTGTGTGTGTGTGTGTGTGTGTGTGTGTGGTTGGAAAGTGAGAGGTTTGATGCATTAAGTCAGTGCTTGTCAGGGCTCTGTGACACACTGTTGGGTTTCCAGTGGAATACAAATAAGGAAGTGTAGGTGTGCGCTTGGTGTTTCAGTCTACACAGGGTAGAGGAGGATGACTAAGCAGAGCAGGCACTTAACTGAGGATCATAAAGCGCCATGACAACAAGCGTGCATGTGTGCGAGAGAGACGCACACTTCTACGTATATTAGAAATGACTACTATTGTCCAAGGTCATGTGGGTTATTGGGACAGAGGATTCCAGAGGTGAGCAGGGATTCTTTTTATTTCTTTTTTCTGGAGTTGATGCTTAACAATGCAGGCAACACACCCACACATCAACATGTTCACAGACAACACATGATTTAGTCTCTGTCCAAGAACAACACCGCTCCTTTTCAAACAGAAAACAGAGCAGGGAGTGCTTACCAAAAAAAGATTTTGTATTTCTTAAAGGTCCTACACATGTTGATAGAAGGGGAATAATAAAAGAGAATTATGAGCACCAGTGGTAAATGCAGGTTACGACTCTAGGCCAGTCACTAATTTCATCGCTAAACCACCTTTTGTAAACATGCTGAAATGTTAAGTAATAGCACCTGTGTGTGACATCAGTTTGCTTTTGCATGTCCATCATTCATACAATTCATCTCTTTGCATGTTTTAGCCAACTGGCCTCAAGTGATGTATAATTTGCTGCCAACTGTTCCCAAAGCACACTGATGTATTATTTGTCTTAAATGATTCCTAAGATCCATGACTTGCAGGCAAACACTGTTGCAGCTCTTTGCAGAAAATTGCAAAACTTGAAATTTGTTTGCATTAGACAGTCCACCACAACGCATGTAATATCTACTTTTGTTATTGTCCAGGTTGTGCTAGCATTACAGGGTTAAGTAATCAGACTGTCACTAGTGTGGCGTGCTAGCATTACAGGGTTAAGTAATCACAGACTGTCACTAGTGTGCCTGAATTTACCAGTGATATAATTCTGACAAATAAAGCAGGCATAATAATATATCACCTGCAAATTGGTCTTACTAGAATGCTAAAACTAGCTAAATTGAATCATATGACCAGTTGACACACTTTTTTCAGGAAGCAGGCCGAATATATGTGCATATCAACAGTAACATTGCCATATTTTAACATGCTGTTCATATAATAGTGCACCATGTTCACCATGATAATGCCATCTTTTTTTTTGAGCTGGAAAATAGTACAGAGATTAACAAAGGAATTAGATGAATTCACCATCTGGAAGCATGAGTGTCTGTGTAAAACACGATAATCTGACCAAAAGACGCCGCTGTTCCTAGTGCCATGCATGGGTGAAGATCTAAAATTGTGGTTTGATTTGGAAAATAGTTTGCATACTGTAAGTGTGAAGTATATGTCAGTTCTACTGTAGTAAATAGGGATAAAACATGCAGAAATACTAAAATGGTCAATTTAAAAGTTCTAGTTGGGGTTTCACATCAATGGAGTATCAGATTTTTAACCCTGTGACCAGCAAATGAAATCTCCATGTTGTGTGGAATGACCAGAGCTCTACAGTAAACTCGTCAATTCTATTACTATTTTTTAATTCCATACTTAAATTATTCCATAATTTAACCCCACTTATGGAAACACAAAATCTTTTTTTGGTTGTACGTATAGCATGAATTTTATAATTTAACTGACCCCTTAAATTGTATCCCCCTTCCCTTTCATTAAATATTTCTCCTCACATACACAAAATGTTGGTCTTGTTTCCATTTCTAGCTCATCAGCAGTGGTTGAAGGAAAGGCGCCAAACAAGACAAAAGTTCTGAAACATCTCAACATCCATGATACACATGAAAAAAATCTGAACTCAAACAGCAGGGGTGCATTAAATAGTGCGTGTGTGAGATGAGCACAATCTGTGTGACTTCATATTCTCTATTTGTGTCTGTGTGTGTTTACTTACTTAGCACAGACCCGAGGGGATGAAAAGAAACAGATTTGACCAGCCACGTAATTACAGGAGAGAGAGGGAGGGATGATGGTTGGGGTTGCCGTGGTGACCATCCCACAATGACAGGATGGTTTTTGCATCCTCAGGAAGGAGCAAGCCTCAAATCCTTTATATCACTAGGACCACGTACAGGATCTTGTCCTTCTGCATATGTATACATGTATGAACTAGAACCAGCCACGTAATTACAGGAGAGAGAGGGAGGGATGATGGTTGGGGTTGCCGTGGTGACCATCCCACAATGACAGGATGGTTTTTGCATCCTCAGGAAGGAGCAAGCCTCAAATCCTTTATATCACTAGGACCACGTACAGGATCTTGTCCTTCTGCATATGTATACATGTATAAACTAGAACATGTTTTCTGCCACTTTACTCCAACGTTAAATAAGAGTAGAATAAAGTAGTGCAATACTCTATAGTACAGTACAGTGGCCATTTTGCTTTAAGATGACAGTGATATGCCAGCACATAATTTGCTTGTGAGGGTATATTTCATAAATACAGTCATACATATAACAAGCACAACATGCAGTGATTAATTGTGAAGATAAACAGTCATGGACAAAAATCTTGGCACCCCTACATTTCTGTCACATGATGCACCACTTCTCCCAGAAAACTGTTGCAACCACAAATTCTTTGGTATTCTCATGTTTATTTCTTTATGTAAAGAGTGAAAACTGGTCATGAGGACGAGTTAGAGAGAATTGTTTAGACCAATCCAACAGCCTCACCACTCTAGGTGTGATATCACCACTACAGCCCCTGACTCTTTCTCTTCATAGAGACCAATGGACAGT